CCATTCAATCCATCCAAGCTATCCCAAACCTTAAACACCAACTATAACTCCATTTACAGGGTTTTCCATTTTCATTTTGAGCTTGTGCAGGTTGAGTTTTGTAGGCTTGCTCAAGTACATTCAAGGCAAGCTAGACATTGGAGAAGGTCAAGTGAAGTTCAAGCAAGCTCCCAGACATCTCAAGCCTTGTTGAAAAGCTCCACATTGCCCTACACGAAGTCAGCTGAAATAGGTTTTTACCAACTTCATATCTCTCTATTTAGGAACATTTAGACTTAGGTTTGTGAATAAGAAATGTAGTATTCATAGCCATGAAGTTGTACATATGCTCAGTTTTCATTTTTATTAAGCATGCTAAGAGAATTTGGTCCATGAACATCCTGAAAAATTTAGGTTAGATTTTAGGGCCAGAGAAATTCTCTCTGGTCTTTGAGAGTTAGGACAAGTTGTTTATATGGTTGGATTCGTCTTAAAAAGCTCTACAACTTTGATGTTATGTGTTTTTGCAATAGAGCTCGTATGCAGGATCTAGCAATTGTACAGGGCGCGCGCGTTTTTGAAAGTCAGAGGTTGAAGATGAAGTGTGGTGGGTTGGGCTTGGTCCTGGCTCACTATTGACACCCCCCTTTTACTTTTTGCACCCCCTGGCCCATTTCTTCATACTTTTGTATTTTCCATTTTATATTTATTTCTGATTTTGTTTTCTTATTTTCTAAATATAAAAATACCCAAAAAATATTTTTATAATTTTTTACATTTATTTTGCATTTATTTCTATTTTTTCTAACATAAAAAATAATTAAATTAGTATATATTTTACTTATTAAAAACTTAAAAATAATAAATAATTTATACTTTTATTTTTTATTATTTTATTCACACTAAAAAATATTGTCCTAAATATATTTTTTTATTTTTGTATATATTTTATTTTTATTATACATATTTAATATAATTAACACACACACACACACACACACACACACACACATATACTTTTATTTTATTAGATACTTTAGAATAAAAATATAGAAATATTATACTTTTTATTATTATTATTTGTACTTAAAATAATACCTTTTTTTAAATATATTTAATTTTTTTACATTATTTTATTTTATTGTATATAAATAATATAGCCAATATATTTATTTTCTTAAAGAAAATTAGTGTTTACCCTTAAGAAAAAAAATAATATTTTCTTTTATTTATTTCTTGCCTTTTTTGCATTAAATATTTTTACATACATAAAAATAAACAAAAAACTTTTTGCATATTCATATTATTTTCTATATTTATTTAATTTGTTTATTATTGTTCATTTATTATTTATGCCATTTGATTCAATTTGAATGTAATAGTAAAACTAGGTTTTTTATTTCTTGTCAAATACACCCCCATTCAAAAATTGTACCCCCATCCCCATAATCATGTTGTAATAGCTTAGACTTTTAATTCTCGCACTTTATGTTTTCAATTATGCCATGATTAGAGATTAGGGTTTGTATGCAAAAATCCAAATCAACAAGTAGTTTGACTAATACAGAGACAAAAATGCATGAAAATCAATACACAATGCACACTTGCACCCCTAGGGTTACATCCACTTGTTGCCTTAAAAATGGGTCATGTTATGCATGTTGGGTACTTTGGCAAAAACAAAACAAAAGATCATAGTCCCTCGATGACGCTATCTTGGTTGTCTAAACAAAAATGATCAAGTACCTCAAAAATTTGCTAAAGATACTTAACACAATTGCTATCATGGTCTATACGATGACCCGGGCCTGTCCCGTTTAACATCCTAATACAAGGTTGTTTACCAAATGCAATGGTAAAACAACACTGTCAAAAAGGGTTAAAAAAACATATAGGAAAGATCTTTGAGTAAAATAGGGTAGATAGCTCTTAGTTACTTGATCAAAAAGGGTTAAAAAAACATATAGGAAAGATCTTTGAGTAAAATAGGGTAGATAGCTCTTAGTTACTTGATCAAAAAACTTGCAAAACACCCTTGCTATGTTCAAACACACTTCACAACACAATTTCAAAACATTTCCCAAATCAAACTTTCAAACATTGGAATATCCTTTCAAAAGACAAAACACCTTTTGTATACATTCAAACAAGAATCATTACAAAGGTTGCCACAATGATGGCCTCTTTTCAAAACATCTTTCAAAACCACATACAAATCACCATTTCAAATAATTGAAAAGCAAAAGCAAGTGATCTAAACAAGTAACTAAGAGCCCATGGATAACCATGGATGAAAAGGGTGCTTGCACCTTCCCTTTTCATAATCTACTCCCCGAACCCAAGAAAACATCTCAAAGGTCTTTCCTGTGCTTTTTGACCCTTCCTTAGGATAAAATAAAAAGTCGGTGGCGACTCTTGCTAAACTGAAACATTTGCAAACACAAAACGCAAAAACCTCAAGTCAATTCTCCCATGGTATCACAATAAGGTATAACTTTTAATTATCCTTCTAAAACAATTTCATGTCCCAAAATAAGAGTTCTGAGACTCAACTTATGGTGGTTTCCAACATGTAATTGGTTACCGAAATAGTGTAACCGATTACATGAAGCCAATGTCTCATTTTACATTAATTATTCACCAAGCAACATACATATAAAATTTAATCATTTACTTCTCTATCATATGCTATATGATCTTAGATTTATTCATTAATTTCAAAACTCGCCAATCTCTCATGAAAAGAATAATAAACAATTCAATTTGAGGAATTATAGGGCATGTAATAAGTTACCTAATGGTGTAACTGGTTACATGCCGCTACTTACTCGTGTATGGCTAATTTCCCAGGGGGGTAACTGAGTACACCAAATACGTAACTTGTTACATGTCTGTTGTGACTTTCAAATTGGCCATTTTCACGAGTGGTAACTGGCTATACTATATCTGTAACTGGCTACAAGCCTGTGCAGAACCCGATTTCACTTCATTACTCACATTTTCTCCAATTCTACCAATATGCAATCATGTTCTAACATAGTATAAGGATAGGGAATATATCATAGGGGAACATGCAAGTAATCATTCACAATGAATCAAAATCATATACATGTTTTTCATAAATTCACACAAGTCAAACATGTAATCATAGATTATAATCTCATTTCCCCCATGCTTTGTTCCTAATGGTTCTATTCCCAATTAAGTCCTAAGAACCCCAACTTAAAACCTAAATTTTGGAGAAAGAATGGAGATAATGATGTACTCTTGATGCTTTTGATCAATTCAGCTTTGATTCTTCTTCTATGCACTCAGTTTCACACGTGCAAAACGCTTGAATCAAACGTTCTTCTCCTTTTCCTTTTTCCCCACATGCCATTCTTTATCTTTTTCTCTTAGAGCTCTCTATCAACTCAGATTTTTAAGACAATGGAATTGATAGAAACTTTTTTTTCTTCATTTTGACTTAAATACTAGCTTGGTGAAGTTACCTATTTTCCCTATCCATTTAAGTTAATTTACTAACTCTTCCATGTCGACTGAACATCCAAGACCCATTGATCCACACAAGCCAAAGGCCAATAGCACGAGGTTCATTACACAACTTACTCTGCCAGGCCCAAGGTATAAATACCTTCATAAAGGGTTCTAAGTTACATAATCTCTGAACTCCACTTTCACAACCTTCGATATTGAACGCTAAACTGACTTGGGCATTAGAGTTCTAACCATACAGTTACCCCCCTTAGATCCATCGTATATGAGATAACAACATTATTTCACGGCACCATATCAACATTAATACCATTTGTTTAAGAAGCACCGTGATCATAACCTTCAATCCTCGGTATCACATCAACATAGTGCATTAGAAGCTCTGATCTGCCGTGGTTTCTACAATCATCATTATTTATGTTTCCACAATAGAGCAGTGGCGTCGTTTGTGAGAATCGACTTGGGATTCCTACAATTTCCATGATTTCACATTCGATCCATATATCTGACCTTTGAAGAGATCTCCGACGAGGAAACCAAATATTCACAAAGCCAAAATCTCAGATCTGTACTATTTGGGTACATCGAACTCCGATCCGGTGTTGAACAAGTGGTTACACTAACTCCTAGCCACCTCAAAACTATTCCAACAGAAGCCTCGAGTCAAGATCTCATCTGGAAACGTCCTAGCCGATGGGGAACATTAGCCTTAAGTGCTAGGGAAAGCCAGTTGGTGGACACCTTCATATCTATATTCAGATTAGAAAACCTGAGGTGTTTTGCTGCCCTCGACCGAGAAACGTCAATGATCTGATCTTGCAAAGTATGCCTTACGTCCATTTTTATAAGTTGAATACTAATAAGGTGTTAAAGTTAATTCCTTATGCAATTAGGAATTTCCATAAGAGGAAATATTGTATTATCATCTTAGTTATGAAGTCACGCAAGTTATTTTATTAATTTTATAGAATTATTTTGTTATTGTATAAATTTTTTATAATTAAAATATTAAATTAAGGAGAATCAACTTCATCAAAAATTATAAGCACATTATATTATAGAAACAATATATTAAAGAATATTCTTAAATGAGTACAAATATTTTTTAAAGAAATTCTTAGATACAAGATGAATATAACAACATCAAATAGAAATAACATAAATTATTATATCATGAATATATTGGCCTAGGCCCCGAGCTTTTTCTGATATCAAAATCAAGCAACAACCTTATGGTCTTGATCAACGATAACATCTGGAAAAAACTTTGTCCAAAACCAATGATACTTCCACGCTTTATTCATTTCTTCAATTGGGACATTATTTGTCTCGGGAAAAAACAAGACAATGAAAATTGTCATTATAAGAACAAAGCCAGCAAAGAAGAAGAAAAGTCCAAACTTCAAGTGACAAAGCATAGTAAGAAAAAATTGAGAAATGAAAAAGGTTAACAACATGTTCACAACAACATTGGTAGCCTGACCCGCAGAGCGAATCTCAAGAGAGCATATTTCACTAGGAACTAACTATCCCAATGGACCCCAAGACCACGCAAATGCGGAAACATACAAACATATGAAGAACAAAAGAAGATTAGCTTCAATATGTGTAAATGAGCCTTCACTGCTAACTCCAAACTTGATAGCAATCATGCTTCTAACAATAATCTACAATCAATAATCATAACATTTATATTATCTATTCTTGGAAAATGGATTAATTTGAATGGTAAATAGGAAGAGTTAATTATTAGTTAAGTTGCAATTTTCACCTGGCAAATAAACATTTGGACACCACCTTCAAGAAACAAAATCTTTCTTCCAAAATTGTCCACAATGAAGATGGAAACAAAAGTAGCAAGAACATTGACACCTCTGGTAATTACTGCAGACATGAGGGAAGCATTGTTTCCAAAGCCAAGAGTTTTGAAAAGGACAAGGGCATAAAACATGATAACATTGATGCTTGTGAGTTGCTGGAAGAATGGAATAAGAGAGCAAAACATTAGTTGAGGTCTTTATCTCAATTGTGTAATATTCTTCCACGGATGTTCCACCTTTTTGGCTTCCTCACTAGCATCAATTAGATCTTGGAACTCCTCATCAACATTATCAAAGCCACGAATATTTTGCAACATTTTCTTAGCTCCTTCTTTTTTCCCCCTTTCAATCATAGAGTTTGGCGTGTCACCTAAGAAAAAAGAACATATACACAACAGAATTGCAGGGACAACTCTGATACCCAAAGAAATTCTCCATCCACTCTCAAGATTAGAAGTAAAGTAGTTGATAATGTTTTCCCCTAGGATTCCAATAGTGATCATCATTTGGAAGCCCATGTTGAGCACACCTGCAATCTTTGCTGGAGCCATTTCAGATTAATACATTAGAAATGACTGTTTATGAGTAACAAAAAATGATATGCAATTAGACTTGTAATTTTCTTGATCCTTTATACATAAAAACATAAAAGCATAAAAACAATACTGGTTTTTACCTGATTACAATATCCTACACCAAAACCAAGTAATAGGCGACCAACGATAAACATTTCAACGTTGTCAGCAAAACCATTGAGCAATGCACCAACAAGGAAAAACAAGCCACCTACAAACATTGAGGCCTTGCGTCCTAACATTCTTGTAGTTGTGGAAGCAAAGGAATAAGCTATTAAAGCAGCAAGGTACAAGGAAGATGTGAACAAAGTAAGGAGCTCATTGTCAAATTTGCAATATTGGCTCTCGTGTTGAGATTCATCTTTCATTTGTTTATAAACACCAGGAAAGAATTTAATCAAAAATGGTTCCATGGAAGTCACTCCTCTTGTACCTGGGGTTGTACATGTCCCTGAGGTTGTACATGACCCTGAGGTCATTGCAGACTCTCCTCCGACACTCTCCCCATCACCGAATCCAATCCTGTAACATGATTCCGATCTTCTGATTTCCCTTCAAAAAGGTATATTTCAAACATGAAATCCTTCTTCACATTATATTGATTTATGTTATCATCGTCTTTCCCATTTGCAGTATACTTGTTTGTCTTCTTTATCTTATAATTCTATTCCTAACACTCTAGGTGAATCATTATCTCACCCTGAGTGGAGGAAAGTAATGATTGATGAAATGTGTGCTCTTCAAAGCAGTGGTACCTGGGAACTGGTTCCTCTACCCCCTGGGAAATCTTTAGTAGGTTGTCGTTGGATTTATATAGTGAAAGTTGGTCCAGATGGTAAGATCGACCGATTTAAAGCTCGCTTTGTTTCCAAAGGATACACTCAGATTTTTGGATTGGATTATAGTGATACCTTCTCATCTGTAGCCAAGATGGAATTTGTTAGACTTCTTCTAGCCTTTGCAGCCATTCGACATTGGCCTTTTCATCAACTTGACATCAAAAATGTATTTTTACATGGTGATCTTGAATAGGAAGTATACATGGAGAAACCACCTGGGTTTGTTGCTCAGGGGGAGTCATCGAATATGGTTTGTAGGTTACACAAGTCTCTTTATGGTCATATACAATTTTTGAGCTTGGTTTGGCAGATCAGCACTGTAGTACAACAATTTGGTATGGTCCGTAGTGAAGCTGACCATTCCGTCTTTTATCGTCACTCAGCCCAAGGGTATATTTATTTTATTGTGTATCTAGACGATATTGTCATAACTGGTAGTGATTAACAGGGAATACTCTAGTTGAAATAACATATCTCGAATCAATTTCAAACAAAAGATCTTGGTAAACTCAGGTATTTCTTGGGTATTGAGGTAGCCCAATCTAAAGATGTTTTGGTGATTTCTCAGCGGAAATATGCTATGGATATTTTGGAAGAAACAAGTTTGTTGAACACTAAACCAACTGATACTCATATGGATCCTAGTGTCAAACTACTACCCAATCAGGGGGAGCCTCTATCAGACTCAGAAAGGTATAGAAGATTGGTTGGAAAGTTGAATTATCTCACAGTCACTGTCCAAACATTTCTTTTGCAGTCAGTGTGGTAAGTCAATTCCTAAATTCCCGTTGTCAAAAACACATGGATGGTGTTATCCGGATTCTGAGATACATCAAATGTGCTCCAGGAAAAGGTTTAGTGTATGAAGATAAATGACATACTCAGATAGTTGGATACTCCGATGCTGATTGGGCAGGATCACCAATTGATAGACGATCCACCTCTGGGTATTGTATACTTGTTGGAGGAAACCTTATATCTTAGAAAAGTAAGAAACAAAATGTAGTTACAAGATCAAGTGCCGAGGCAGAGTATAGAGTTATATCGATGGCAACATGTGATCTTGTTTGGTTAAACCAGTTTCTCAAGGAACTTAAAATTGAAGAAGCAAGACCAATGACACTTATTTGTGATAATCAAGCTGCATTGCACATTACTTTAAATTCACTCTTCCATGAGCGAACCAAACACATTGAGATTCACTGTTACTTTGTCAGAGAGAAGATAGAGTCAGACAACATCACCACAAGATTTGTAAACTCGAATAATCAATTGGAAGATATGTTTACAAAATCTCTGCGAAGTCCCAAGTTTAAGCTTAACCCTAGATGTATCATTATCAGGATTATAACTAATAACAATAGCATAATTCCCAGAACACCTAGAAAAAGCACCACGATCACCAACATGGTGTTCAATGTTACAAATCACAACTCCTTCAGGAATAGACCTAACCGGAAAAACATTACCAACAACAAGCGTAACTTTCTTCCCGCAATAAATAAACTGCCCAGTGTATTATCCTTCAGCAGTAACAAAAAGCTCGTTCTGTTTCTTATACCTAAATGGGTGACGGAAAGTGACCCTGGAAAGAGGTGCTCCGCGACCTGGATTGTGGATGATATCGGTAATTACTCCCTTGAGGTAGCCGTTTTTTTCTCCAAAATTGAGAATGCGGAATCTGGTGGGGCCTTTACGATGTTGGGTGTGGGATTTGATGATTGATCCTGAACCTTTATGATGTGCCCTGATAACCCTACCGATACAATATATGGCATGAACATGACTTTATAAGTGGGAGTAATCCTCACCTTACAAGCCGGTTTTTTAGGGTCGAGTTAGACCCAATCACACATTCTAAGAATTACAATCATAACATAATAATACTTTCATACACACAAACATCCACATTACAAAAATGCATGTTTATTATGTGGTATTATAGTCTATGTATAATTTGTAGTATTTTATGTATTAGTCTTTCATAGGATAAAGTTCTCATTATTGATTAAAAAGTTCACATGAAAATTGCATGATAAATGTAACATCCCGAATAATATGAGTCTAGAATCATAATATTTGCAAAGTTATATTTGGTATTGAGTACAAAAAAAGTCTAACTACTGATACAATGCACAACGAAAGCACAAAATATATATCATGGTCTTCAAATTCTTTACAACACCTTGCCTTTTCCTTTGTATTGCGCCTACTTATCATAAATATTAAACATGAGGTGAGATACAACTATCTCAAATGTAGTCCTAACTAAACCATAAGTCTACTCGGACAAAGGTTTATTAAACTATCCTCATGTTAATAATACTATACTCGAGTATTAGATAAGTAAAACAAAGAGGAAACGAAGTTCATCCAACTTCACACCAAAGATAATTGTTTATACTCTAGCTTCGCAAGTCATGTAGAACTTAGGAGACAATCAGCATGACAAATTTTCACTGCCTACTAGCACTATTTATTTCCAAGTTTAGTTTTCTGGAATCGGGGATGAATTACTAATCCTTTCCACCAAATATGGTTTTATGATACGACCTACCTCTGTTGCATGGAAATCCTTTTAACAAAATATGGATTTACGATACTACCCACCTCAATTGTACAAAAATCATTTCCATCAATTATGGATTTTTGGTACGACCTACCTCCATTGCATGGAAAACCTCCTAATAATGAACTACATTCACGACAAGCCCTAAGAGTCTCTGTTGCAACCGGTTTTAAATACAAAGTCGCCACACTTATTTTTTATCCTAAGGAAGGGAATATAAAGGAATAACCCTAAAAGTTAGAGATTCTAGGTTTTTGGACTCGGTTCTAGACAAGGAAAGGTGTTAGGCACCCCTCATCTACCTTGTTCACAAGGATACTGGGTTTAGAAGCGCGATCTTTAGGAGATAGAGTTTTAGTATTTTATTAGGGGAACTCGCCATGATTTTAGTCGTATGCCTATGTATCCTCTTATGAAGAATAAGAGTCCCAATTCGTAGTTCACAAGGTTTATGTTTTTTATGGATTAGACAAATATTTTAATTCCCCTTGTACCTAGTCCGAGTATGTTAATAGCGGATATTTTGGACCAAGTGCGCAGTTAATTAAAATATTCTTCGCACTCCTTTTCGAAAATTAATTGTTGGATTAATTTTGTTATGAGAATGGTTTATTTTTGGTTGAATATTTTTTAAGTATTGATTGTAAAAAAAATCTAATTAATGCATGCTTTTAATGCAAATAAATAAAATATATTTGAATGAATTTTTATAAAAAATATTATGATTTATAATAATAATAGTTAATATAATATTAAAATTTATAAATATATAAAAATAGAAAATAATATAAAATAAATAAAATAAATAAAATAAATAAATTAAAATGCAGGGGGTTGCAAATAATGTTGAGGTAGTAAAATAGGGAGGTGTTAACAACATGGGCCTGAATTCAGATATTGAATTCATGCCCAAAAGACAGGGGGTGTGAGTTTATACTACATAGAAAATTAGGAGGCATGAGAAGTAGGGCCCAAGTCCATATTTTGGACTTGGCCCATCAGGCAAATGGGGGGTGCATTTTTTTGTGCTGATTAGTAAAACAAAAAGAAGGTGGTGTGAATAATAATTGGGCCTGGCCCAGTGAGGTTTAGGAGTCTGTTTGGACTCCGTGTGTATGGTCGCACAATAACATGATGGGAAGGAATTCTCTGGGACATATGATGGGGATCGTGTGGTGATGATTTGAGGCACATGGTAATATGCGTGAGGCATCATGCACTGGATTATATAACATATTATATTTCGTTTTTAACAAAATACTTTTCTCATTATTCGTTGTTCTTTCTCTCTTCATCTTTTGTCCTTATTCTCTTAGTCCCTATAACCCTAATAGCCAACCCTAACCTCCCCAGCCCGCGGAGGCACAACGTCTCTCTCCATCTTCGATATCATGACCAACCCTAAACCCTAAACGCAGAAAAGCAACAATAGTTATAGCAATCATAACGGAAGAAGCTAAGTGTTTACCTTGGGTCGTGTCTGTTCTATGTTTGTTTTATCAAATTCCGATTGCTGACCCCTCTATCTTCTTTCG